ATTTTTTCAAAATTCATTGTTTCTAAGAGGGCTATGCTCAAAGCAGACACATTTTCAAAAAAATTCTGCTTTGAGCATAACCCCCTAGAAGCAATGTTGAAAAATGTGTGCATTGATGATTTCAACCTTTGGATTTGTTTTTAAACCTCAAGAATAAAATTTGAGTTGCAGGGGTTGTGCTCAAGGCAAAATCCATTTTCAAATAATTTTTGCTGTTAGCATAACCCCCTAGAAAACATTTTTGAAACTTGCAATTTACCCTCTTTAAAATTTAAATTAAAGCCTCAATTCATCCTTTTAATCATGTCAGTGCATAAAACTACTGTTTAAGACACGAAACTATTTTTTTCCCTTTAAAAAAAAAAAATTTTTCGAATTTTTCAAATTTTCTGGAACGGATTAAACAATTTCCCATACAAGTCTATGGGAAATCGTGATTTGCAGTAAGAACGTTTCATACTAAGAACGTAGCTCCGGAACGGATTACATTTGTAGTGCGAGGTACCACTGTACAGTATTTGCATGAATATTTTGTTTGCCAGTACCTGGAATCTTAAATCTGGAGCACATGGTAGGAAGTAAAGAAAAAAATTATTAGTCATAATGCAAATTGAAAAGTCTCGTCCATAAATAAAGTAAGAATCCCCTTTTGATATTATGCTTTTTAAGATATCTGAGAGATGTGTGCGGAGTGTCATCATATTTTTCAGATTATCATAGAATGTACGGGATACAGATCACAGATTCGACAAGATTGTAGTTCCCATATTTGTAACCATGGAAACTTTGTCAAATACAAATGTTTTTATAATATGTACCTCATTTTGCTGCATCGTGTCCGGTTATGTCGTGTGAATTGTGATCATGACTTCTGCGTATGATGTATCAGTCAGCAAGTATCGTAATCTAAAACTTTTGCTGTCTGAGAGACAGATGTAATTCGAAGGTTTCCATTTATTTTTATGATTGAGCTATTTAGTTTTGAAGCTACCTGATTTCTCGAAAAAGTGAAAATGCGATTCAGAAAGATTTGAAAAGCACAATAACTTATTTTTGGATATGGATCTGATCATGGAGGAAAATACTGAAAATACATGCTGATTTAAAAAAGAAATTTTAAACAAATGTTTGGATGGCATATGTTATTTTTCATACTCTACAGCCGTTAAATTTTGAATGCACGATTTCAGATTAAAACATTACTGTATTGTACTTCTCATGCATACTTCAAGGGTTTAAAAAAGCCCAGAAAAATTACTGCAGTAAGATGCTAATTCAGGATTTAAAGAAAATTTTTGAAAAGCCCGAGGACAATAAGATGACTCAATTAACTAGAAGAAAAAGCTATCCCGATGTAAAATCTGCACAAAAAACAATTAAATGGACTTATTTGCTGTACTCTATAAAAAGCTTATAATGAATGAATAACAAACATGGTTTGTATTGATAATTTTTCTCTTTTAATTCCAATATCAGACATTACAGTAAAAAGGATTTTTTCAACCAAAACTTTGAAAGAAATTCATGGAGCTGTACAGTACAGTACTCTGCAAAAGTAATACTGTTGATTTCGCGTCATGTTGAACAGTAACAGGAACTCTAAAAACTCAAACGAAAGCAGTACATAGTACAGCATTCATCAAGGGATCCAAGCATATAAGGATGTCTCCAGCTAGTGCCTGTATACACAATACACTAACACAGTACTGTATAACAATTGAACACCCGGTATGTAGACCGCTTCAAGTTTCAAGAAATGATCCCAAAAACGAAGAAAACGTCCTGTTTGATCAAGTGCAGTGTGGAAGAAACCATAGCACTTCACCGAAAAAATCACAAGTTTCAAAACATAACAGAAGAGTGGATTGTACATTCAAAGTTTAATTTTAGTTTTTGCGAAAGGAAAATCTAAAAATTGGCAGATACACGTTTTTCCTTCTTACATCTAAATACGACTCGTCTTCTCTATTTATTTGAGGGCGGGTAATTCTTTTCTTTTGTATTCGAAAGGACACACTTGTCTGCAAAAATCGTCTGGAATTTTATCAAGAGAATGTTTACAAAAATTTTCAATGGCATCCTGGAATGCAAGAAACGAGAGAAATTACTTGTCAGCAAGAAATAATTCAGGAATAATCCTCGCATGCCAGGAAATCTGTGAGAATGATAGTATGCATTTCTCTGATTAAATTCTGTATGACCATGGTCTTGGTTAGAACTCAAATTCAGCCATGTTTGATTTCAATGTAATAGACCAGAAAATGCGAGAGAACCTTGATTTTTATGCAGTTTTTAAAAAAATGAAAAGTAATTCGTCTAATTAAACTGCACAGTGTTCCATGCTGGCACAGTGTTATCAAACCTTTTCAAGCCAGCCAACTGGCAATTGTTCCTAAAACATTTTTGTGGACCCACAGAGATTTTTCAAAAATATACTGCAGAAATCCTCCGATTAAAAAATTAATAGCAAAATTAAAATGTTGAGAGCAAATGAAGCAAGTTTTGGCAAATTGCTAGAATTATTGTCAGTGAATAATGGGGATAAGCACTTTAAAATGTGTAGCACGTGCAATTCCATATTTAATCTCTATGATTCCATATGAAAGTAATGCATTCTAGCTCCCTCAAATCAAATTTGATTCTGATTCAACACTACTGATTATTTCTCAGTGAGATAAAAATCGAACAAATGACAGTAGGTACACATTTGAAATAAACATGTACAGTAGGACTGAAAATTTTGAAAGTTTGTTTTGCCTGAATTGCTCAGATGTTCATTTTTTTTTACCAAACTCAAGATATGCGATAAAAATAGCAATAGTTTACACGCTGTTGTGAAATTAGGACAGTACTACAGTATTGTCTTCATCTTCAAAGTCTCTGATTTCACAGTATGAAAGGAAAAGTTATACAGTATGTCCATTAATTAAATGTTTGATCAATGTGCATGCCGTTATTATAATCATAGGTAATAAGTGCCTGTATTGTTATGGTAAAAAGGTTAGTTCCAATAAAATCGAAAATGACAGCAGTTGATTGCCTCATCAATGTCCTCAGTGAAACAAAAAAAAATTCGCCACCGATTTCAGCAAACAAACATGTACAGTAGCAGGATTGCCAGAACACCACTGAAATTAACCATGGAGATTGATAAATTTGATTGATGGTAATTTTTTTTTATCAAAGATTTCTTCCGTGCTTCTACTGTATCTGAATATCAAGCTCATTTTCACTAAATTTAATCTTAAACCATGCTTCAAAGTTTTGTCTTAATTAAAGTTGGGTTATGGTCATTCAACTCCTCATTCTTGTCTGAATGAAATCGGGAACTTTGTTACACATATCACAGAGATCGTTCAAATATAAAAAAAACTAATTCCATTGTTTTCTTGTTTTTATTTTCTTCAACTGCGTAGAGTTGGCCCCTTCAATGTTTTTTCTGTTTATTTTTAATTGCAATGAAATTATTTCAAACAAAAAATAGATTACTTTACAGTGCTGTATCTATTTTACAGTATTTAAAATAGCAATGAAATATTAGTCTTACATTGGGAACTGGGAAGTGCAACCTCTAATAAATAATATAAATAATGCTGAAACAATGTTCCACCAATTGGCAACAAAATTTATGCGGACCTGCGCTGGTTCGCGGACCAAGAGTTACAGACCACTGAGGTTTGGTTATCACCAGTATTATGCAGTACAATACTGTTGTACTTAAACGCAAATCCGTCCGTCTGTTGGTTAGTACTCGTTAGATGGTGTTGCTAGGCTCCTGGATTATCAATCCGCAATATGCTCACGGTTGCCACATTTTCAGCTATTACGCTTGATTTTTTCATATTTTCACAAACGTCAAAAGCCCTGTCAATTAAAACATCTAACATTTCATGTAGTACACTTATGGTATCCCTGCACTGAACAGGCGGTAGAACAATAAATGAATATTTCCTGCGAAAAGTACAAGAACTGGGATTTTGACTTTGGTAACGCTGTTCGAGACGGGGAAACGAGGGACCCGGCAGCGCAGACACAACGGACAGCGTGCGCTTGCCCGCGAGTAAGCTCAGTCTTCCCGCGGCCGGAGGTTCGAGTGAGGGTGGCGCATGGCAGGATTATTTATTAGGTACATCGAAGAATTTGTTGCTCATTCGTATGGACTGACGTGTTCAAATATCACCGTGACATCGAAGAGTAAGGTCTCTTCAACGAAGTGCAATTGTTTCGTCAACAGAGAATTGTGGAAAGGCGTCGCGCGTTTCGCCTTGTATGGTCAGTGAAGTTGGCTCCGGCGTTGAGTTCACCCGCGGATGCGTTGTGAACGCGCATCGAAGTCCTATCCGCGGCGAGAACTATATTGGTGTTGACAATTACGAATAGTGACGCAGAACGAAGCCCTCTATTCGAAGGAGTGAATTCGGCGAAACTTTGAAATGCGCCGCTAGTGAAATCTCGTTTGTTACGATCGTTCACGTGACGAGAAACCGAAACGAAAGCCAGTAGAGATGATGGACTCGTACCTCATCATCACTTTCGTCCTTCTAGCAGCCGCCTGTGCCCAAGTCGAAGGTGAGTTTTTAGTGAACTGTCGGAAGAATCCGTAGCTGTACTGTGTGTAGGCACTTCAGTGAGTTTCGATACCGCGGATGAAACGCTTTTGTAAGTTGTGTACTGCACTCAGGTTCATACGCGATCATATGATCCCCTTTGGAACGAATATCGTGAGGGGGAGCGGAGCAGCTGGTCTCGTCGGGGACCAACTTGTAACGGTCGTTTCCGAGCTCTGCCGGAACGGGGTTGTTCGAAATTTAGGCACCCTGGCAATATTTGTACCTGAAATTCAGCGTTATTATTGCACTGAGCTGTTCGTGTCACGAGAATTAACTCTTTTGGAATTGTAATATGAGAACTCTGCCCGTTCAGCCGTCGAATAAAGAAGAAAAGGATAACGATCACGCGCTATGCTCGTACAATTTTGAGGCTTCATCAAATAGGTACATGTGCTGTAATTCATTGAAGTTCCCCGTCTTTGTCAAGAAGATTTTTATTTTAAATCGGTGTTCAACCATTCATTGTTCGAGTTTCCCATAAATGCTTGCATATCCGTATCAATTCACACCCACGATAGAAAGGCTAAGTGATATTAGTGAAATATTATTTTAGTCTGGTTATGTTGCGAACGATGGATTGCTCGATCAGCACTCAAGCGTTCAGAGGTGAATCTACGACGACTTCGATATGTATGACGGATATTTTTACTTGCCATAAATTTACTTTTACCTAAGGCTTCGTTTCGTCAAGATGGTTAGTTACGGCAGGCTGGTAAAATAGCCACATTACGAAAGGCAATACTGCATTGAATTTTTGTTGGTGTCCAGGTTTTTCTGGTGATGCCTATGTGAGTCTTCGTTACATGTACCCGAGTAAAGCTTGTTTATCGCGTACATTACTGCACAGTATGTTATCTAGCCGAATTAACACGGAACATTTTTTGAACACCCGGTTCCACGGGGACACGTGCCCCCATCGGTAGTCAAAACGAAGCCACCTCCGGTATTCGGCTTTTCCGAGATCGTTGCAACATCGTTTTGAATTCCGAAATGAATAGCCTACTCGAATCGGCTCGCTTGATTAGCATAATAATTCCGAAGCTTACGACGTTGTTCGTTCCCCCAACCCTTTCAGTGGCAGATTTTTGTAAACGTTTGCGTTTCTTTCTTCTTTTCCGTGCAGGATTTGCGTCGTGCTCGCCGAATCCGTGCAAAAATGGAGCTTCCTGCATCTCGAGTCCGCGTGGAGACTCGTATTGCCAGTGAGTAAAACAAAAAGCCTATTTGTAAAGTTTCCGTATCGTGAGTGGGAGGAAGTCGAGTGTGCCAGTGTCGACTTGCTATCTCGACACCCGCTGTGGTGCCGTCGGTTTCAAAATCCGGCTTCCTCGCCCACTGAGAACAGAGCTGTCCTGTAACAGTTCCGTGACATGCATGTGTTTACGTCGATCAAGAGAAGACGCATAAAAGCCGCTTCTTCCTCTGCGTCATGCAAGACGCTCGACGCGTCTTCTGGGTTGACGAAAATGATTTAGCGAGCTCAGATGTGGCTGCGTATGTTGCTTTTCAGAAAAATATCACGCTTATTTTGTTCGGCGAACATTTTGTGGGTGTTGCACCTACTGCACAACGTGCGCCTTTAGTGACGCGTTCAATAATTTGTACTCAATTTGGATATAAATTCCAACATGTGTAATCACTTTTTGATTACCTTGGCTGTACAGTACTTCATAAGCTCAGGTGTGAGGTCTGGGCACAAATCGGGTACACTTTCATCCATAGGCACATAACCAATGTGGATTACATTAATTGTACCTCTCTAAGTCTTGGGGAGGTCTTGAGTTAGGGAAACATTTACGGGGAGTAAAGAAGAATTGCAGAAAATTGTACATTGTGATATTCTGAACTTTAAATTGAAGTTTGATGTAAGGGTTCATTTGCCCAATTTGTCTCACTTTTTCCCCAGAACATATCATTACTTTTTTATTGCTTTTCTCTTTCCAGTGTCAAGGAAATAATAGCCAAAAGGCCTGAGAAAATTTGATTGAGGGAGGTTTTAAAGCAAAAGCCTTTGAGTTGGAGAGGTTGTTGAAGGATTGTTTCTAAGGTATTCAAACAAGGGATTGGCCAAAATTCGACTTGAGGAGGTTCGAATTATCCAGGTTCAACTGTACTAGCTCTAATTGAGAAATAGATCAATGCAGTATCTATTACAATGATAACAAATCATTATGCGGATTAAACGGGAAGACGCAGAGACAAGCCATGCCTATGGCCTGAGGTTGAGGACGACTTTGCCAAGTCACTTCTGACCGTGAAAATTAGGCCAGTTGTAAGCCAACTACCAAACGGGGAAAGTACTGTACAATGAAGTACAATGAAAAACCCCCGGCCTGCGAGAGCTGCTAGAAGACCCAGAAGACTTCGATGCTTCGGAAGCGCGCCTCGCGCGGAGAGATAGCACAGGCAGGGCGAGCAAGCAAGCAGGAGGCCGATCACGCCCCGAGTCTCTCTCCCCCTGGCCTGGAAGGCGGAAAATAAAATATAAATCCCGCTCTCCAAAGGCACGTCAGCCAGCCCAGGGCAGATAACCTCCTGTCCGAACCCAAACTCTCGGCGCCATACAAAAAAATTCCAACGCATCCCTCCCTCTTTTGTTCTCTTCTCCCCCCCCCCAACTCACATCTCTCTCCTTTTTTCTCCTGCTCTGGTTGTTTGTTGTTTCCTTCCCCGGCTCCGCTCTTCTCGTCGTTTCTCTCTCTCTCTCTGCCGGGCTTCGGGTTTCGCCGTGTTTTTTCTTCTCGCCTCCGGGTTTCCACCACTGTTGGGAACCCCCTATTCAAAATTCACCGGGGCCTGCCGCGCTGACCAACTGCATTCGTCTCGCGCACCCTAGATTCCTAAACGCCGTGTGTTTCACACATGACCCCCGACGAGCGCTTCCTCAGTTCAGTCCGATCATGACTCGACCCCAAACCTCGCTTGAATTGTGTGGAACCCCTTTTACAGGGCACTCAACTATCCAATTAACGAACACAAGCATCCAATTAAACCCAAACAATTACCATAGAGTACTTCATGTTTGAGGCAGAAAATGTAGCGATCACGCGACCTCGTCAGTTCGACGAGGTAACAAATCCAACAAAATTTGAATCAAGAATTCGGAATCAACCCACAAATCATCCATCTAATAGCCCATCAAACCCGTCCGTAATACTGTAATAAATGATAAGGAAGAAGAAGAATCGCAGGAAATTGTAATTGGTGACATTTTTGAGCCTTAAATTGCTTCTTAAATTAGGTAACAGGGTACTGAACTTGGAGGCTAGGGTTCATTTGCCCAATTTGTCTTGCACTTGCTTTTGAAGACGTGAACACCTACGTAACATTTTGATTGCTTTTATCTTGCCTGTGTCAATGAAAGAATAGCCAAAAGCCTCCAGAAAATTCAAGTTATGGAGGTTTGAGGTGGAAGCTTGCAAGTTCGTGAGATTTTCAATGCATTGTCTCAAAGGGAATTCAGGCAAGGACCAAATGTGGATTAAATGAACATTAGGGAGGTTTTAGACTTTAGGGAGATGCGAGTTTTGAAGGTTCTATTGTATTTTTAGGTGAAGAGAAGGCCAGTTGCAACCCAAAGATGTTCGGAAGATTTTCTCTTCCACGTTTTTGTACCTTCTAAACTTCATGTTAGACCTGACTTTTTGGCATTGTTCTAATTATTTGATTTAAAATTATCGTAGTGTATTCAGTTGTGTTGAGAGGATATTGAGAAACACTGGAATGAGGCACAAGCCAAGTTGTCAGCGAAATTTCCCATTACGTACCCCATGCGGCTAATGGTGGGACGTGTGGGTTCGGTCTTCGGGGCGCTGCGAGTACCATACCCCGGTATAGCGCCACTTCACCTTCCTTCTAGCGTTGTTCGTCTGCGGGCACTTGTTTTCCCGGTCGTCGTCCCATGGGTTTTCCTTTTGGTACTGTACTATCTTGCCGATCCGGGGGCCCTTCAAAACGTGAGAGAGATAGATAGATAGATACGTACGTAGGTAGGTAGACAAGGGGAGGCCTCGTATGAACTGGCCGCTGGAAATAATTGCACGACGTCATTTGAGCTGGCATTGCCGCGCTTAATTGTAACTCGCCGACGCTTGCTCCCCTCTTCAGTGTCACTCTTCATTCTGGAACGTCCCCCTCGATCTGCTGCAATAAAAGTTGGAATGGGTCATACATTGAGAAAAAAAAAGTTTCTCAAATCGAATGGTATATGACGGCCGATTTTCACCTCGCCCACTTGCTTTTGTTCTCCTGTAAGCGTGGACCCGTTTTTCTCGTTTTAAGATGTTCGTACTTTTGTGAGGTTCCGAGACGTTGAAGGAAATAAATGTTTTGAACTATGTCCATATGTGGGAACGTCCGCATTGCGGATCACACACTTCCGTTGACTTGGATGTAAAAAATTGTTCACTCCTCAAGGAAAATGAAAAAAACCTGAGAAGAATTCAAATCATAATGTTTTAAATTTTCAACTTTAAAACGCAGGAAATAGCTTTACAAGACGAAAACCTTTCAGGATGTGCCATTTTGGCATGAAAGGCGAGTCCGAAGGACTGGAAATTAGCTCACAGAACAAATACGGGTGAACTGTCTGCAACGATTTTACCTTAAAACGAGGTAATTCATTTTTGCTTACTTTTGTTCTTGCTTGCACAAGGTTCTCGACGACGAAATTCTGTCTGCAACAATTTTTTCTGTCGACTTGAAGATTGTTCTGAAGACAGTCCACCTGTAATGGTATGCTGTACTGTGTTATGAGATGAAAACTCATGTTTGTGCCTCGGCAGCGAAGCACACAAATTTACTGTTGGCATTATGTTGAAAATTTTCGATACTGTTCAAAGGAATTTGTCGTTGGAAGACTCTGCTGCATTTGGCTTGATCTTCCCAGAATTCCCTATCTTTTCCAGTTGATCGGGGAGGAATAAGATACTTCCTCGGAATAGCTAGGACCTAACTACACTTCGAATATACCGTATTTAATCTAAGCAGTTCAGCTTGCCATTGATGGAAAGTAGCGCCGCTAAATCAGGAATGCAGACCTGAAGATCAATGCTGTATTTTACAGTACTTGTAACAAGACGTGCTCGTTCGTACAAATTTTGCGTTGAAGTTTTTCTGTGAATTAACCCGTGTTTTCATCTCATTATCATCATTCCACATTATTATGGTTCAGTCGATCACGCTTTCTGAATTCAGTCACTTACCACGATGTTGAATTCAGGGTTAGTCAAGTACCAATACAGATCCGGGCTATCTTGTTGGTCTTCTATCGAAAAACATCGCGGAGACCAGAGGAATAAAGAAGTCGTTTCAAACGATTTCCCCGAAATTTTGCGGATAAGATTCCCTCGGGAGATTCTTGACCGAAGCTGAACACTCGGACGTACGTGCGTGTGGGTTCAACCGTTGCCGAATTTCATATCAGGCAAATGTCTGATATTTCGTTTCCTTCCATCCTTTTTAATGCAATATACAGTAGCGAGAAGGGGATCCTTGCATATAATGAACAAGATGCAAATGTAGTGAGAGGGGGGGGGGGGGATTCGTCGTGTGGAGGAAAAAACAATTGTACTTTTGGGAGCCGTGGGAAGGCGAGGGCCAAGATCTGCTCGCCGATCTCCTTCGTTGGAAGCATTGTGCAAGGTAATTCGATTTTGCGCACCCGAAGTCGGTCCTGTCCGCATGAGTTATCGATGACGTGTACAGGTGGGCTTCCTCATAAACTATGCAGACTGGGCTGGGTTGTGACTTCAAAAAGTCGATACGGTTTCACGTCTATCCTGAGGCTATTTTCTATCGTAGAATCTGGTGTTACTTGCATAGATGCACACTGCAGGCGCCATGCTTGACACGGAATTGAAAAAGGAGATTACTGGTGGACTGATTTGTAAAACGATTTTTTTGTGTTCTCATAGGCTTCTCTCCCCATGTTGAAGGGGTTCTCGACAACGATTTTTTCTGGCCGCTTGCATTTTCGTTGTGGAGAGACTCTACCTGTAGTCGCATTTGAATTTCAGGGTTGCTTTTGCTACGTGGAATCCACTTCACAGTTGACTGACCGCAGTGCAGTACTTTACACTGTACCTTAATAACATTCTTTGGCGTGGGTACCACAGGACAGGTATATATTTCCTCCTGCAGTACAGTACTGTACTGTACTTCAACTCTGAAGGGTTTTGGCAATTCAAAAATTAGGAAGCAGTGGCGGTCGAGAGTAATGTGGTTCACGTTATTACCGGGTATCATTTGTGTTGTTCAGAATCTTTCATTACTGAACTAAAAATAAGTGGAAGCTCGAATCTCCTAAACGGAATAGAGCTATAATCTTGAATGTTCCCTCGTTCAACTAATGGACTCT